AGCTACGAAGCCGCACCGCTTGATGGATTGTCGGAGCATTACGGCTGTCGTAGGCGGAGCCTCGCGGAGTGATACGTACTGTGCTTCAACATAATATTACCGTATTGTGTGTGTATGACCTCTTTAAGTTTTGTGGACGTTACACATGGTTATGCTGAGGATGTGTCGGCCAGTTTCCACTGAAACGCCTTTTGGTTAAACTGTCAGCAAGAATTTGCATTGTTACATGTTTATATAACTTTAATGCAGATAAAAACAGCTGCTTGTTTAAGTGGAAATACATTGATGGTTTTTTGCACTAACAAAGTTGTGGAGTTGTAAAGCATGTTGTCTCGTGTCAATTATATCGTTATCACAAATGTTCAAATGCATATCGTGATAAATATTTTGGGGCATATCGCCCTGCTCTGCTTGGTAACAACGTCTTGCAGCTTATTCATTTGTACACTGACAAGTGTTAGAGTTAAACCCAGGCCTACTGCCACACCGGGACAGCGTCTTTCACCAACAAAGATAAATCAACAAGCAGAATCCAAAGACTGAACTTACTCAACAACACATACCTGCACTGATAGCCTCCTCCAGTAGTCTGCCCCCTGCAGGACGAGCAGGGAGGAGTTGAGGAGGACGGAGCTCCAGGCAGAGTGGAAGAGGACACCTCGGGGACCTGCTGGGTCTCTGCTCCTCCTACAGCTTCCACTCTACCTCCACCAGCTCCACCAGCTCCTCCTGCTGCTCCTCCTCCCCCTCCCAGGGGTTTGTGGATGCAGCATTGTCCTGAAAACTCCCGACAGATCTTTTCCACTGCCTCACGAACTACCTGGTCCTTGAACTGAATGCAGTAGCAAGCACTTTAGTCATCAGTCGTTTAGCGGAGTTACTGCTATGACACTCATCAGGACGTTCTTACCTTCTCCATGTAGGAGGTGAACCAGGCTGGAGGAGTCTTGTCTTCTTCTTTGGTCCCTTTTACTTCTTTCATGATCACCTGAGCAACAAAAGAACATCATCTATGTGCATGCAAACATATGGGCGCAGCAGTGGATAGATGCAGTAAGAATGAAGCCTGTGCTGGGCTCTTACCATGCCCTGTTCTGGCACTGCAGCCTGGACCTTGCGACTGACCACCTGAGCAAGTGAAGGGCAGTGCTGTGGGGGCCTGAAGCCCCTCTTGGGTTCTGCTCCGCTGGCCTTGGTGGTGGCAACCCTCGTCGGCTGGCCTCGAGTTTCGTACACATTCATGTGCAGTCGGTTCCCCTGCCTCACCGCACTCTGGAAAATAAACACACCGTCAGTTTCTCCACTCCGCTAGATTCGTCACCGGCAACACAAATGCTTCACTTAAGAAGAGCAGTAAGCACAGCGATACTATATCATAAGGAAGTCTTTATTTTCATGGGTCAAATGTAACTGCACAAACCATGAAAGAAGAGAAACACCAGTAG